ATTAAGAGCCTTTCTCTACATTCCACTTTCTGTCATGAGTGAAGTGGCCCTAGGAAAAAACATAGGTCCCTGACTGTATGCAGAATATCCTACTTTAAGTTGGGAAAAGGTTTTTTAAACTTGAGTGAATAACTAAAATAATAATTAAATACTCAGAGTTCTGCCAAACCAGACAGAATCCCCAGAAACATTTTCCCTCTCACTGAAGTCAACAATAAGGTTAGTCTGGACTGGAATTCCCTTCTGTTCCCATTAAACAGACTCATTCCTCCTGCATCCCATAAGGCAGGCCAGGAGCCAGTCTCCAAACGGGTGATCCAGGAATGGTGCAATAACGCTCCCCTGTAATGAGAATGTAGCCAGGTTCTCTCAAGAAAAATGTAGTCCTTATTCTCCCTCCCATATTTCATGAACAGTGATTTATCTTGTTGCAACAGCTGTACTTCCATATTAATTCATTCCAAGTCTTTTCATCAAAATGTAAATTTCAATCCTGAAAGCAGGATTGGGAGTCTAAGAGTAACACACCACTAATAAGTTCAGAAATTAGCTTTTATCTTAGTGAAATACTTGGTCTCCCCGAATATGTAGTCACAACGGGAAAACACTCCAGCTTGGCTGCACTACACTACAACAGCCAAACTGAACCAAAGTACTCCACGCAGAAGGGAAAACATACCTAAAAGACATCCCATTACAATACAGACACAGGTGCAACAGAGCTGAACTAATAAACACTGCTTCAATACAAGGTCCTATTAACAAATGAAAAGAAACTTTTGGCCAAGCATTTTGCTGGGTTGTTTTTTTTTTTTTTTTTGCGGTACACGGGCCTCTCACTGTCGTGGCCTCTCCCGTTGTGGAGCACAGGCTCAGCGGCCATGGCTCAAGGGCGCAGCCACTCCGCGGCATGTGGGATCTTCCCGGACCGGGGCACGAACCCGTGTCCCCTGCATCGGCAGGCGGACTCTCAACCACTGCGCCACCAGGGAAGCCCAGCATTTTGCTAGTTTTAAAAATTATCCTTAGTTTTAAAAATTAGCAAAAATCCGCAACGTTTTACTTGGTGCTCAAGTAGTAATTAACTTGGATGGGTCCTCATCATTATTCCACAGATCTCCAGGAAGAAGCCCCAAGATTCCACTCTGCTCAACTCTGAAGCTTACAACAAGGCAACCAGGAATGTACTGGAAGTGAGAATGGGGTGAACGCTGAGCAGTATAAAGTCAGGAAAATAAAAACCTAAATGTGAAATTACACATGCTTCCAAGATACGTACTCCACTAACATTTCTGTTAAACCTGCTTTACAACCCTCACTGTAGATTTTAAGGAGACAAAAAGGGAAGAATCTTAATTAGAGCACTGGACATTGGCTCTCTAACAAGACTGACTTTCCAAATAGTGTTTCACCTAACACTCAACCTTTCCAAACCTCAAATGGACAAGCAATCGTGTGGGCTTGGATTTATCAGAACAGTTAACTAACAGCCAGCAGCCTCTCCAGGAAAAGCATATGACACAGTGAGAGATTATCTGATGAGTCAAATGACTGTCACCCCCATACTGCAAGTACGTGTTGCCTCCCTGCAAAGCCAATTAGCAAAAGATGCACAGAATTCAGTTGACAGGGCTGTTCATCCAGCTACATATTTTAGGTAGTCCATAGAATTTCCATTTCCAAAGAAAACAACTTGTCAGGGGATGTTTCAAATTTAAGTAGGCTTTTTTTTTTTTTTTAAAGAAAAAGGAGGATCTTAAAAATAATAAGAACTAAATTCAGATAGCTGAATACATCCTCTGTTCTATGAGAAGCATACAAATGATATGCGTATGTGACAATGTTGAAATAGGTAAAACACCACAAAAACTCGGTTATATTATTCAACCAACACTACAGAGTTTAAAGTTAAGTCAAAGGCAGGAAGCAAACGGACCATGAGATGGGCAGGTTCGTGGGCTCCACACCCACAGCAGCTCTGTACAGGCCCACAGACATCAACCCCATACGAAACGTATCCCTAGAGGAGAAAGGAGGCTCAGCAGAAACGGGCAAGGAGCAGAGACTGAAGTTCTTGAAAGGTGCTAATGAACCCAAACTGGGCCAGGCCAACTCCAATTCACACCGGAGTTTTACTGCTGTGTCCTACGGGGTGCCCCAGTGGTGTCCCTGAACTGCCCCTACGTTTCTTCATCTGACAGGAACCTCTCCACACTTCTCACCAGCCTTCAAAATCAGTGAGACAAACCCCACATGAAAAATTAGCACATCTAATTTTATTATTTCTGCTGCACAAACATACCGACTTTTCATGAAAGAATTCTATACTATGATACCAAGTGCCTTGCCAGGGGTCTCTGGAAAATAACTTGGGCTGATAATTCTACTGCCAAAAAGAAAATATCTTGCAATGTATAAATATTATTACATCACCTTCATTCAATTTCAAAAAGCACACAAACATAAATCTGCTGCGTGCTATGTATTTTCCTCTGTAAAGCAAGGACTGCGCAACAGATGACACCTAGAAATTGCCAATTTTTCTCTCACCTTTAAATCTCAATCTTTATACCAATGCGGAACAGTTCCTACCCCACTGCCCATAATCCCAACTCATCCCCTGGCCTCTCACTAAGTTACCACTGGAAAAGTCTGGCCCTGCCGTTCAGCTTGAAAACTACTATAAATTATATATTTCAGAATAAATACTGCCTTGTTCAGTTGGTTGGTTACCCCACCTCCCTTGATAGTAAGAATATCCCAGTCTTTTAAATTTATAGACGGAAAGTATTAGTTTCTAAATAGGTCTTTAAAAAGCAACAATAAAAATACTCTTCTCACTTGAAAGAAAAAAATCCAAAAGGCTGTGCTCATATAATTTAAGACATCAAGGAAATGTAAATTAAGATTTTGTTTCTATTTTCTGTCTGAACTTTAACTTCCAACAGTTCTCTTCACAGGCTTTCAAAGCCCACCTTGGAAAAGAAAAAAATAGGAAAAATTGTCCTTATGAAATTCACAAAAACACTTCATAGTTTCAGCTTCAGTTACTAAATCCTGGGTATTTTTCTATGTTGCCATTGTACCTGAAAACTAATTCATATCAGAGAGTATGAAAAGAAAAAAGATCCATTCTACTCTTCAGATGGGTGATTACTAACTGCTGCTGGTGATGCTATTTTCTCTTGAATTGAACCATTACAGGTATTTCAGATTAGTAGCATGTAATCTGCAGATCTGTACCACATGCTAGTGGTATACAATTCACTAGAAAAAGAACCCCCTGAATAAACAAAAACACATTAAAAATTGTATAGTCTCTAAAATCACTTATTTCTAGGACAATAATTATTTTTCATGTGCTATACACCTATTAGATATGGGAGTATTGACTGAAGAACTTATTTGTGGTTATTACTGAATAAAAACTTAAAGGTTTAATGTAATTAGAAAAATACCCCTTTTAGAATGCACATATTCATAAAGGAAACATCAATAAGATTAATAAACAAACTGAACCCCACCTATGGCTGATTACTGCTGCGATTACCCAGTTTCCTTCTATTTCCACTAGCATTCTCAGAAAGCAGAACATTCAAAGCGAAAATAATCATTAATTTACTCATTCAGTCTTTAACCATTTAATGAGAAGCTTCTACACGCCAGGCACTTTTTGCTAGGTGCTGAGGACAGAAAATACATGAGCTAAAAGCCCATCCTTAAAGGTGGTTCTGGGCTGAACTGTGTCCCCCCAAGATTCATGTGCTGAAGTTCTAAATTCCCAGTACCTCAAAACATGACCGTACTTGGAGACAGGGCCTTAAAAGAGATAAAGCAGTTAAAATGAGGTCATTAGGGAGTGGTCCCCTATGACTGGTATCCTTATAAGAAGAGATGAGGACACAAACATACAGAGGGAAGATCATGTGATGTCACAGGGTGAAGATGGCCAACTACAAGCCAAGGAGAGAGGACTCAGAAGAAACCTACTCTGCCTTGATCTTTGACTTCTAACCTCCAGAATTGGGAGAAAATAAATTTCTCTTGTTTAAGCCACCCAGTCTGTGGCAGACCTTTGTTACAGCTGCCCCAGCAAACTAATACCACAGCTCACGCCCCATCAAAGGAGACTGATATATAACTATAAACTCTGTGAAAGGCAGCTAAATTTGAGATATGTACAAAATGTAAAAAAAAAAATACACACTCTAGCATAAATTGGCTATCCTGGATGTTCTGGTTTTTAGGACCTTATTCTAGGGGAAAGAATATCGTAACAGAGCATTGTTACCATTTCCAAGAGACATTAAATAGACTCTAACACATGTTATTTCACTTTATGCCCACATAAATCTTACAGTAATTTTGAGTGTCCCCATCTTAAAGATGGAGAAAGTCAGTTTTAAAAAGGTAATCAACTTGTCCAGACCACCAAATTAACAACTGAAAAAGCCACAGTTCAAAGCCAGGTCCCCTCAGTTTGACATTCTACAGCCTACATCTGCCTTTCAAACAAAACCCCAAGAAGGTACTAAGTCAAGCAGATCACAGCATGAAGTTTTAGAACAGAGTCTTCTCTCTGTGCACTGCCTAATTTGCAGGTGTGCACGAATGTCTGAATAGCATGCTAGGTAGCGGAGTAGTCTTTTAAGTCTGCAACCTTACTAGCTGGAAAGACTCTGGAAGGGCCTCTCAAAGTTACAGCAAAACCATAAGCATGCTTCTGATAATATACAGAACAAACCTGTATATTATCAGTGGTAATGATTTCAATTTTTCTGATTTTTTTCCTACTCATTTTATGCCAACTCATTCAGGTTCCTCTAGTTCCATCCTCATGGCTTACTATACAAGACATGTGCAACAGGACAAAAAGTATGGACATGCACTGCGCCCTACCAGAAGCCAACGGGGAATTGTGAAGGAGCCAGCACAGGGCATATTTACTTTAGAAAAAAATGAAAGGGAAGAGCAAACCACAGTAATAAAAACACACCTACCTGTTTCTTCATCTATTTTGAAAACACCAACACCAGAACCATCTCGAATGGAATAGTGGATCTCCCCATCTCTTCCTGTGTCCTCATCATGAGCTGATACCTTCATCACTGATGAACCAACAGGGACATTTTCTTTCACTACACCCTTTTCCACAAAGCTAGGAAACACTGGTGGGTGTAAGTTCTCATTCACATCGATGACTTCAACTTCAATGTAGCAAGTGGAAGACAGAGAAATGGGCTTCCCTTTGTCTTTGGCCCTCACAGTGAGATTATACACTTGCTTCTTCTCAAAGTCCAACTGCTGTACGATTCTAACTGCTCCACTGAGCTTATCCACATCAAAGTTTCCTTCTCCGTGGTCCATAAGACTGTATCTCACCTGACTAGACTGACTTAAATCAGGATCATAGGTCTCTAACCACATGATTATGGTTCCTTCTGGAAGGTCCTCTCGAACTTTCACACGGTAATTAGGGGGAATAAACTTGGGTGGGTTGTCATTAACATCCTCTAATGACACCTTCAGAAGCACCGTGGAAAGCAGCTGCGGTTCTTCTCTGGCTTGATCCCTGGCTTCAATCTTTACGTAATGCACGTGCTGTTCTTCACGATCCAAGGGGTTCACGATTTTAACCACTCCAGTCATGCTGTCAATTGAAAATTTATCTGTGTCTGTAAGAATAGAGTACGTCACATGTCCATTGGGCCCCAGATCTTTATCTGTGGCTTCAACCTGGATGATTTCACTATTTATCTCTTTGTCTTCACTCACTTCAACGAAATAGTTCTCCTGTAAAAACTCAGGTGGGTTATCATTGGCATCCAGAACTCTGATCTCCAGAAGACGCCAAGCAGCCTTCTGTGGCAGACCGAGGTCAGACACCGTAACATTCAGGGTATATCTGTCTGTTGTTTCACGGTCAAGCGGAGATAAAATTTTGAGCATTCCTGTTTCCATGTCAATAATGAAGCAACTATCCTCATTTCCTCCAGAAATAGCATAGACCAGTTTTCCGTTGAAGCCAGTGTCCAGGTCAGTAGCATTCATGAAAATTATGCTGGAACCCACAGGATGATTTTCCTTCACCTCAATACCAGCTGGAAGAGTACTTCTAAACTGTGGTGTGTGAGCATTGACAGAGTGAGAATCAAAGAAGACATCCTCAACCTCTCCCTGACTGTGTAACTTATTGGCCTGCAGGAGTTTCTCTGCCAGCATCCTGGCCACACCAGTCTCCTCGCAGTGCAAGTTTACTGGCTTGCGAAGGGCAGCCACGGTTATGTTGATATATAATGGTGTGGCAAAATTCTCTCCATCTGTAGCTGTAATTCTCAGACTGTGAAATGACACCTTTGCCCCTAAACCGTTCATGAGCGACTGCTTTAATGACAATACCCCGGAGCTGGGGTTTAAGCTGAACAAATCCAGTTCATTCCCAGCTTCAGTCTGATACCGCACCAACTGCAGTTCATCCGCGTCAATGGCAGAAACAGTGGTTATCTGCTCCCCTACACCTAGGTCCCTGGGAATTGTTCCTTCACAGTTTATCTTCTCAAACAGGGGTGTGTTGTCATTCAAGTTATTGAGAGTGAGGGTAGCAAGGATTTCAACCTCCCGGCGGTACGGCAAGCCCCAGTCTGATGCCCGAATCCTTAGAGTATAAACCCGTGGCATCAGCTCGTAGTCCAAGTTCTCTGAAGTACTCACAGCACCGGTGAAATGGTTAATCACAAACGGCACGTGATTCAAATTTGCAATGCTGTAAGTCACATACCCGTTCTCACCCTCATCAGGGTCCACAGCACTCACACTCATCACCGTAGTACCAATGGGCACGTTCTCGTCAAAAGATGCTTTGTAGGCTGTCTGGGTAAATTCAGGGGGATGGCTATTTGCACTCAAGACTTTAACCAAGACTTTGGTCGAGGCTTTTCTGTCACTTGTTGTTACTTCAAGTTCAAAATGGGAGGCTTGCTGTCTTTTAATTGGTTCTAAAATGGAAATGAGACCAGTGTTGTGATTTAAACTGAATTTAGCTTTTCCAGGTGTATTTTTAAAAACATACTTCAAATGAGAATAGCTAGGTGTGGCTTTCACCATGACCACGGGTGTGCTGGGAGGAGCAAATTCACTTATTTCTGCTCTGTAAACCTCCTTTTCAAACTTGACTGGCCCAGCTTTGAACCGTGGTGAAGTCACCTGAATTACTTTTACAGAAGAGAACTGGGGAGGACTTCCTTTATCTTTCGCCTGTAGTGTCAGGTTGTAGCCGAAAGGATGACTGTCCCAATCAATGTCACCGACTGCTTTGAGTTTATACTCTTTGCTCCCTGGAGAGGTCCTCACTGTTCTAAACTGCTGAAGGAGGTCTCCTGCCACAATGCTTAAAGAAGCGACTTCCCCATTGGCACCCTGATCGCAGTCATCCACGGTTATGATGGCATACGTTGGGTCCTTCTCCAATTCCGATGGTGATAACGTCACTGCTGTTATCACAGGAGCACACTCGTTGGCCTGCTCTACGTGAACTGTCAGCTTAGCCATGCTGCTGATACCACTGCTCCCGTACAATTTCATGCCACGGTCCACAGCAAGAATTTCCATCTCATAGAACTTGGTCTCTGTGTAGTCAAGTCTACCAGTTAAAACTATGGTGCCACTGGTGGGGTGGATAGCAAACATGTCTGTTCGATCTTTAAAACTGTAGTAAAATTCTCCATTGGTGCCTATGTCTGCATCCGTGGCACTGACTCTTGCAATACTGGTCCTCAGGGCTGTGTTTTCAGGTAAAGAAACACTGTACGAGGTGGGTGAGAATAATGGCCTCAAGTCATTTGTATCCAGCACTTGTACCCTGACCTTTGTTCGTGCTTCCACATTAGTATTTTTTTCAACTGCTTTGACTATCAATGTGTAATGGTCTTTCACTTCTCTATTAAGAATAGCTGTATTTCCTCCTTTGGTCCTTATTCTCAGAAAGCAAAAGTCTCCAAGAATGTACTCTTCAGCTTTGAATAGGTTTTCATTGTCTCCTGAGACAATTTTGTACCTTAACTCCCACAATGGATTTGTAATGTAAATACCCATCTTTACGGGATGCCCAACATAGGTCTTCGCTGCAGAATTTTCATGCACTGTGACATTGTACTGGAAATGTGTGAACTGTACAGGAGTTTGTTCAAGTGCTTGGCTTCCATCACTGTCTCCAAAATGCTGGAGGAGGAGCAAAAGCAGAAGCGAGGCCAAATGCCTCCCCATCGCTTAACTCCCAGGAACCTGCAACGGAAGAAAATAAGAATCATTGCTTCAGGGAAATAAAACAAACAAAAAGTGTACTTTTTTTTAAGGTTTTAGACCTTTTTTTTTTTTTTGCGGTACGCGGGCCTCTCACTGCTGTGGCCTCTCCCATTGCGGAGCACAGGCTCCGGACGCGCAGGCTCAGCGGCCATGGCTCATGGGCCCAGCCGATCCACGGCATGTGGGATCTTCCCGGACCGGGGCACGAACCTGTGTCCCCTGCATCGGCACGCGGACTCTCAACCACTGTGCCACCAGGGAAGCCCAGACCTCACATTTTAATAAAGTATTTTCCATCTATACAGAATATGAATAAATGCAATAGTTTTCCAATATTAAGTATCAATACTGCTAATATTTCTAGAATTACTAAGTTTAAGAACAATTTTTTTTATTTTAATGACTCAAAGAATCTTAAAGAGCATCAGATGAAGGTCTTCCAGCTGCAACAACTACACTGTATTCCTGCACTTCAATCTTCAAGGCAAGTATAAGCCACTGCTAAAAAAGGGAGTGTTTCCATTTACTTGTATATAATAAATGAAGTGCTCAAAAGCTCACAGACTTGATGCTACTACAGTATCCTGAGCATGGGACGCTTCGGACAGCTAACAACCAAAAAAACTCTCAACAGTGGTTTTATATAACCTCCCATAATGATAGCTTGTAATCTCATCTAGAAATTTATCCTGAAATTATATTATTTCTTTATAAGAATGATTAAGTTGACTCCCTACATAATATAAGGGTTTACTGTCTCATTTAGCACTGTATTAACTATTTAAAGGTATTAAAATAAATGTATCACCAAGTTTAATACTGAAGTCATTTCTGAACCAACAATCTGAGCCCCAAACAGTCAGTTTACAAAAGGCAAGAGCTTGATGTCAAACAGAACTTGCCCTCCCTAAACCAGGGACACAAATCTTGGCAACATCACTGCTGCATCACCACTGCTGCCAACAGCCAGTGCACAGAGGGTCGGCACAAAGCTAAATCATCTAAGCAAACATGCGTAGAGGGGCCCAATCAACGCAGCAAGGTGGAAGGCACTGCAGGGAGGTCCAAGGGTGAGGTGGGCGGAAAGAGGACATGTGAGAAAGGGGTACCCTGAACCAGTGGGAAGGCAGGCAGTTCACTGGGCTGAGGCCTGGCGGGGGAGGACAATCGCTTTCAGAGCAGCTGTTCCCCTAAATGCCAACGTAATTCACCTCGTAAATGAACGGAGCTTCACAAACGTCCAAGAATGGTCAGAAGAGGACAGCGCTGCAGCCCTGGCAAAGGACCCCTCAGATGAATATTCGGGAAACGGGACTGCTCCCCAAGGTAAGAGAAACAGCAGACTGAAGGGCTGGCCAAACAGCCAGGGGAAATTAGCACGGCAACTTTAATTTACAGTATCTTAACTCAGCCAACTGCCAACTTTGCCCCATTAATCATTTCATTAAGGAAAAAAAGAAAAAACCTGATATGCTGAAGGCAATGAGAAGCTTAATTGGTACTGAATCCTGTCCAAGTCGGGCACCCTAACTTGTGCTTTAGCAACCATGACTTCTCAGCAGATAAAGTCAGAAAATGAGACAGAATTTTTGGCCTCTAGAACAACAATTAAGATTTAAACAGAATAAGAAGACAATCTTCTCCCAAAACTATCTCTTAATTTGGTCAACAGTTTTAATACTCCGGGAAATTTGAGGATTATGTAACAAACCGATAATTTTATCAAAACAAGTGAAAACTCTGATTCATGACTGAATTCAACCTACAGGTATTAAGAACCTGCTAGCAGACAGACTGTGCTAGGTACATGGAGTTAAAGACTATTTTAAAAGGCAAAGATCCTGGTACTGAAGCATTTACAAACCAGGGATAAAACGTAAAGAGAATGTCTTAAAGAAGCATTGAAAAGATGATGTTGCACAAGCACTTTCTGTTTTAGGAAACATAATGTTACTAGTATCCAGTTTACAACAAAGTATTAAACCAGGATTCTATTGCAAGCAATTAAAATATTTTTGCTTAATTCTACATATAAAATATTATGCAGTAATTAAAAAAATAAGACAGCACTCTATACACTGACATGTAAAGATGTCCAGATACATTAAGTGGAAAAACTAAACTGATCCCATTTATGTTTGCAAAAAGGGAGGGGAGATAAATTATATGCATAGTTCATGGATGTGCTTAAAAATGAACCAAAAAATTCTGGACAGATAAGAAGTAAACTGTTAATGGTGGTAACTTCTGAAGGACAGGCAGCTGGGGGAATGTTCACATTTTCACTTTTCTCTACTATTTGAATTTTTAGTGTATATATATATATATATATATATATATATATATATATATGTTATCTTTATCATTAATTCACTTCTTTGGTCATTTGATTCATTCATCACCCATTTAATGAGAGCTTACCACAGGTCAGGAACAGTTCTACATGCTGGGAATACGAAAGTGAACCAAACTACTAACAAATCCTCACGGAAGATACATTTCCTGGTGAGAGACAAGGAAACAAAGAGTCTATCAGATGCTGATGATTAGTGCTAAGGAGAAAAATAAAGCAGAAAGAAATGAAGACTGCAGCCAGAAACATGGAGGGAAAGAGAGGCCCCGAAAAAGGACAAGAGTTTCTCAACGTCAAAACTATTGACATTTGGGGCAGATGATTCTTGGCCGGGGGACGGGGTGTGTAGGCTGGAGAGCTGTCCTAGGCATCATTTAGAATTATTCCTGGTCTCCACCCAACTAAGGCCTGCAGCCTCTCTTCCCTCCAACCCCAACTAAAAATGTCTCCAGACAGTACAAATGGCCCCTGAAGCTCAGTCATCTCCAGTAGAGAAGTACTAGTTAGAGGCGCCACAAGGAGAAAGACCGTGGTGGCCTGGCACTGTGGGTGAGCGGAGAGCAATAAAGGAGATCCTTTTTTAGATAAGCTTTTCATTTTAAAATTATTCTAGAGTTTCAGAAAAATTACAAAGACAGTTTCCCCTACTGTTAACATCTCACCTTACTATGGTACATTTGTCACAACTAATGAAATAATATAGATACACTGTAATTCACTAAGTCCCAATGCCCTTTTCCCGTCCCAGGATACCAGCCAAGACAACCGCATTACATTCAGTCATCATATTCTCTTAGGCTCCTCTGGACTGTAACAGTTTCTCTGATTTGTCTTGTTTTCAATAACCCTGACAGTTTTGAGAAGTACTGATCAGGTATTTTGCAGAATGTCCCTCCACTGGAATTTGTCTGATGTTTTTCCGCATGATTAGACTGGGGCTATGCGTTGAGGGGAGGAAGAGAACAGGGTAAAGTGCCATTTTCATCACATCACATCGATGCTGATGCTGACCCTCTTCACTGGGTTGAAGCAGCGCTTGCCGGGTTTCTCCGCAGCGGGGTACTTGCTGCCCCCTTCCCCTACTGTGCCCTTTGGAAGGAAGTCGCTACGTGCAGTCCACACTTAGGGGTGGAGAGTTATGTTACATAAATCGTTTAGAGTTCTTCTGTAAGGGAGATTTGTCTATTCTCTCCTAATGTCTTTATCATTTGTTTTCATCATTATGGCCTCATGGATGAAGGGTGCAGGACGTCGGATGTTCCTACAAATAAAACAAGAACAGGGGAGTGACATGCTCGAACCTAAAGTGAAAGAGCTGCTCTGGTACCTGGGTGGACAAGAGAAGGGAGGGCAGCCAGGGCAAAAGCTGGAGGGAGACCCGTTAGAAGGTACTGCAACAGCACGGGTGGGAGACTGCGGTGGCTCAGCCTCAATGGTCCTCGTGGGGGTGGGGAGAAGGGTGACATTTTGGATTTACTCCAGGACCAGCTGATGAACTGGAGGGCAGAGGCGGAAGGAGAGAAAGAGAGAGGCATCAAAGAAGATTCCAGAGGTCACGTGCTGAGCAAGAACTGAGCGGTCAGGTACAAGAGAGGGAAGCCTGCACTGAGGGAGGAACGGATTTTAGGGAGTATGATCGAGGGTTCAGCTTTAGACATGTTAAGGTAGAAATGCCAAGTAATGACTTCAAGCGAGCAGTTAGATGTGTGGGAAAGGTTCACCGTGGAGTGAGAAACTTGAGAGTTGTGAGAATATGGAAGACGCTACATTTAAAACCACAGAACTAAATGATCACCCACAGAGAGAGCACAGAGACAAGAAACAAAAACCAAGGACAGAGACGTGCTACTCCCCAAGATCTAGAAGACAGAAGACGAGAGGAACCAGCAAGGGAGACAAAGCAGCCACTGGAGCAGAAGCAAGTAACAGTGGTGTGACAATGACAATGGTAAGCAAACCAATCTTTCTGAACATTTGAAGCCTAACATGAGACCTTGAAAATGACCCATTAATACTGGCTGGTGCCATGCTACTCCCACCACCGCTGGTGCCCTGGGCATGCCCTTCACCCCCAGGGCACAAGGAGAAGGCTCAACATGCCAAACCACTGCAGCTGTTCCCTCCCCACGGCATCTCGAGGATCCCTCAGCAGCACCTGCAGCCTTTGCCACCACCCACTTCTCTCTCACAGCTGGATTCCCAAACACCTGGCTCACCCTTCACAACTCACCCACCACGCACCGGTTCTTCTCACGGGACACATCACAGCTGGAATAAACTTTTTCGACCACATTCATAACTGAGACCTCTTAAAACCCTGAATTTACTCTGCAAACTTGGCTAACAGAATGCCGTTGTAATTAAATTATTAAATGCAAGTCTTTTGATCAGAAAAAAATTCCACTTTCTAGGAGATCCTGTTAACTTTACAGTAATTTACCCGAGAACTGTGAACTCACGTTTCACCTTAGAATGCCAGAAAAATTATGGCTGTTACTCTATGCAAAACAAACAGTAAAGCAGGGGAAACACACACACACACACACAAATCCTAAAAAGGTACTAATACCATTTCATCTAAAAAAGTACATTATTACCTAGTGCTCACGCTTATGAAAATTAAACT